TTGGCAAAGTAACGTAAGTGACATTTTTGGCGAAAATTATGTTTTTCAATTAAACTAACACTATTATTGTTAAAAAGGTACTGCCAAAGTGTAGTAAGCGTAGAATTACTTTAAACCTTTTTTAGAACAAGTAGGACAAGTTTTTTCAGTCATAATTTAAATAATTTTAACCAGGCTGAATTACAAAATTGTTTTTTCTACAAATCGTGTTTGGTGACTTACGTTACTTTGCCAAAAATGTATCGATATATATATATATATATATATATAAAATATATATATATATATATATATATATATATATATATATAAATATATATATATATATATATATATATATATATATATATATATATATATATAACCTAGAGCTAAGATTAGTATTATTACTAAAATTAATATCAAACTCACCAGTCTTCCGGGTTGAATCGCGTCGATATCCATTTTGCCGAGCTTTCGGCATCCTCTCTGATGCCTTCCTCAGGGCTTCCGAGGTCTCAGTCTCCCGAGCCCCCAGACACTACTACACTGTTCACTGATCACTACGCTATCACTACTGTACTACTATACGCTTCCGGTTCAACCCGGAAGACTGGTGAGTTTGATATTAATTTTAGTAATAATATTAATCTTAGCTCTAGGTTTTATTGTACTAACCGCGGAAATCTTTCCGAACATATATAAATATATATATATATATATATATATATATATATATATATATATATATCGACGCTTGAAAGGTAAAATGTATAATACGCCACTTTTTGCAAAATAGACTTTCTACACGATAAGATTCAGTGAATTTTTCTATGTATGTATAATCCGACAAGCGAGTGCTGGCGGGTGAGCTGCGCAAAAATAGAAAAGAAATTATTCTAAGAGAGATAGGAGAGGTACTTATTCGCGATTATAGGTATATAGTATAGGCACTTAAACGGTTATACACGATGTGAACTCCTAGACGACTGCAATAGAAATGAGCAATCACTTCCACTTTTCAATTTGTTCTACGCGCAACCCGCCAGCTCTCGCTTGTCGGGTTATACAAAGGGAATTTAGGCTGTTTGAATTACTTTTTTGGCGTATTAAACATTTTATTTTTAGGATGGTTTTGAAAGCAACTGTGTCTTATGCTCCAAATTTTAATACAAAAATATGTTATCTGTCGTATAACACACCTAACAAGTTTACTTCTAGCAAATAAGTCAATTTTACTTTCAGATATTAGAGCCTTGAAGCCGTGTTAGTCATTTCATATGGCAGAATATATATTGCATAGTGGTGCTTAAAACAATTTTGTTTACGGCAGTTACGGGTACAGATGGCGTATTATACATTTTATCTGTTTAAAATAATATCACACGTGCTACATTATCTACTTCGAAGACGGTCCTTCCAAAGATAAAAGGCATTTTAAACAATTTACACTTTGTTTTCATGATACAAAATATGCAATGTTAACGTTCTAACGGATAATTTTGGCCAGTCTTGCGTTATTCGGCTTGTAAACAACTAATTTTTCTCTGTCAGTTTATGTATGGTGTAATAAATACATTTTTTTCGTTCATGAAGGTAAGTGTTTCGTTTTAAATTATAAATATTCTGTAGTTAGATTAAAAATGCTTTACAATTTATTTGTTTCTTGTCATTACTCTGTTCGGAGCCAATCCTCTGATTTTTTGTTACTAAAAGTGAAATTTGTGACTGTACCAATGTATATTAAGAATAAAAAAACAGTAATATTCATTTACAGATAGTATTCAAATTTAGTATCGAACATTTATTTTTGAAATATTATAAGTGTCATTTTGAAAAAATATAATAACTTAAAGAAGGTTGTTTTTACTTTCAAAGAATTTTTTTTTCGCAGATAAAAATGTCGCGAGCAGATCGTATTATGAAAATAGTTCAAAACAGAAAGAACATTATAGATCTTCAAACAAGCTGTTCTTCATCCACAAAGGTAATCCAGGCCACTGATGTACTTGCTCAAAATGCTGAAAGGCCTTAAGAGTCGAAATCTTGCACTCAGGGTTCTAATTATCTAAAATTAACTAATGCACCAATGTCCCCCACCAAATCAGTAATAAATTATGAACTACATCCAGAGAAGATCACGGGTTTATATCACGCTGCTGGTTCTTTAAATGTGATTGAACAACATAATTTAAATACTTGCAGCCGCACTTCTATGGATTATTTAGAACAAAGCCAACCTGTACCTGATTGTTCCTCTGAACTTATTTATCAGGCGTCGCCAATTTATACAGATTTACAACCAATTCAAAACAATGCATCTGCATTAGTTGCTCCTGCTATTGTGTCTAAAGTTTTTCCTGAAAATTCACTATTGACTGATGAATGTTTACCAATAGTTTCCCAAGAAATGCAGATCCACTCAAATAATAATCAATGTTTGGATATTGACACCCCAGTTGACCAGCAAAATTACTTCAATACAAATCAAAGATTGGTACAAGATGTTCAAAATTCACCAGTTATTGAAGAAACCGTGGGTATAGACTTGTATAGTGGTAATGCCAGAGACGTTTCAGCTGATGATACCACATCTGGACCTAGCAAGGTAGTTAACTTTCGTAGCCGTAAAATGGTTTTGCAATCGGCCTATACAGACTTCTAAGATAAAGAAGAAAGAATATTAGAGTACGACTGCGATTCAAGTTCTTGGGAAGGTTCGTCTGAGGAAGAAGATAGTACAGAGGAAACAGCAGCCAAAAAGAAATTAAAAAAGAAAAAGAAGAGAACAAAAGCGGTTGCTGCTGAAAATGGAACAGTGAGAGAATAAGCATATAAGAAAAATCGGCCTAATAAAGCGAGCGAAAGGCAACAACTATATCGAAGCAAAAGAAATAGGACCAAATCCATGTCAACCAAAGAAATGCACTAAGTCGCGATTGGCTTGTTTCGATGTCAAAGAAAGAATATGTTAAGAGAAAGAGAGTAAAACATGAAAGCAGAAAGTCCAATACATTTCTATATTTTATTAATGAAGGTGAAGAACAACGTCAAGTTTGTCTGAAGTTTTTATTATCTACTTTGAATGTATCACAAAGATATGTTTATTACACACTCTCTAATGCTTGTTATGGTTTGGGAAAAGAGGATATGCGAGGAAAAACTATCCCTCCGAATAAAACAAAAGAAGAAGTGTTGAACTCTGTAAGAAACTTCATTACAAGTTTGCCAGCAGTGCCGTCACACTATGCAAGAAAAGACTCCACCAAACTTTATTTGCCCAATGAGTTTAAGAATATTACAAATCTTTATAATCTATATAAGAAAAGAGAAATAGAAACAGGTATAGATGTTGTGTCAGAGAGGTTATTTAGAAAAATATTTACGAACGAATTCAATATCGGAATTCATATTCCCAAGAAAGACAAATGTGTCAAGTGTGTTGGTTTCAAAAACAACCCTAGACCGGAAACTGAAGTAGAAAAGCAAGAACATGATAAAGAAAAAGTTGAAAGTAAGAAGAGATTTGAATATCACCAAAAAATTCATGAGGAAAATAGAAGTATCCTGTGTGTCTCCTTCGACTTACAGAAAGTTTTAAATACACCGTACGGAGAAAGTATGTTACTTTATTACTTCAGAAAATTGGCATTGTATAACTTTACTTTCTATGAAAGTACAACAAGGAAAGGCCACTGCTATTATTGGAATAAAAGCCAAGGAAAGAGAGGAGGTAACGAAATAGCCACATGTCTAGTATCGTTCATGAAAAAAATTGATGACCGTGGGAAAATCACGAAACTACTGCTTTATTGTGACTCATGCCCAGGTCAAAATAAGAACCGTACTGTTTTGGCCTCTCTCCACTACAACTTGATGTCCTGCAAAAATATAAATGTGATCCAGATTAATTATCTTCTGCCAGATCACTCCTACATGCCAGTTGACAGCATGCATTCTGTCATAGAAAAAAGCGTAGCTAAGCATATTATTTGGACACCTTCACAATGGCCAACTGTTTTTGAATTAGCTCGTAACATTCCTGAACCTTATGCAGTTCACCCCATGTTTCATAAATATTCATAAAGAATCCACCAAATTGCAACTTATATCCAACATCTTTGTCAATTTCCAAACAAAAATATAACGATCTGAATAAATTGTGCCACTCTAATGTAATACCCTTGCAATATCATAATGAATATTTAAATCTACCTAGAGGTAATAGTGTAAATGATGTCCTTCCAGAAACTGACGAAGATGGACTTCAACTTTAATATTGCTGATGTGGTTTTTATTGGTTTTGTCAAAAAACCTCAAAAAACCTTTGTTTTTTCGTAGTAATAAAGTATTTTCCATTAACTTGAACTATTTCTTTTCGTTTTTTGATGTAAAATGTCTAGAATATCTAATAATGATGCAATAAATATAATACAATAATATTAGAATTTAAAGAGAGAATGACTTATATTCTTGTAATGTTCACAAAAGACACTTCTAATAGCATGCATCTCATAACATAAATACATTATAAAACATTTCACCTTCTCACAAAGTTACTCATATTTGGTAAATTAGCCGTTTTCAGTTACCTGGTTATGTAATGCATCATGTTTATAATACATTTCTCCTGTTTGCATTCAAGAATCACTTTGTATAATGCGCCATTAATTTTAAAACTAGATAATATTTCTTTTAGAAATTTATAGCATAAAAGGATTCTACTATATAACATTTATTTTCCTAAGATTTGTCAAGATAGTATGCTTACAACAAAAATTATGATTTTTTTTTCAAAATTTCAAACTTTAAACGGTTCTCCTGTAAAATTCACAATTGGCGTATTAGCTGTTTTACCTTTCAAGCGTCGATATATATATATATATATATATATATAATATATATATATATATATATATATATATATATAATATATATATATATGTATAAATGTATAAATGTATGTAAATATATTAATATTAATGTATAAGATATAAAAATTATCAAAATATTTATTTTAGGGAAGAAATGAAAGCAATATTAAAAATATTTCTTGCCAAAACCACTGTTCTGCTAATTGGAAGTCTGACATCAAAAATAGCCTATTACCTACTTTTAACCACTTTCATCCTTTTGGGCAATACTATTTCAGCAGAGCTGGTATACTACATCACGACTTTATTTTTAAGAATAAGACATGCCCTTAATGTTGCCATACCCATGGGAGTTACCGTCACAGCTGACATGTCTGCAGCTGTGAAAAGAATTCAGCAGATGATGACTGCTGAAGAAGTAATTGTTAACGACGAAATTGAGGTTAACCGAAAGAAAGCACATGTTTTACTAAAAAATTTATTAATTGAAGTGGATGGTAAAGTACTTCTAAAAAATATTACTTTAAATTTTGATTCAGGTCTTTATGTTATTAGTGGATCCACTGCTAGTGGTAAAACGGTTCTTTTAAAAAGTATTTTGGGCGAATTTGATACAAAAAATGATCAAGTAATTAAATATGGAACTATTTCTTATGCTGCACAAGAACCATGGATTTTTCCAGCAACTTTTAAACAAAATATTGTTTTTGACGAGGCTTTTGACGAAAAACGTTATAATAAAATTTTGGATATATGTGCTTTGGGTTTTGATATTGATCATTATACCTTAGGTAAGTTTAATTTTTTACTGTATAGACTAAAGTAGGTTAGCGAAGGTTATATAAAACAGGTTCTGTGGAAGATACTACATGAGTTGTTCTTATTGTTTGTATTTTTGCTAAGTTAACCATATTTTAATAGAGAGTATTTACATTTTTTAGCGGACGATCTTAGAATAGGTGATAAAGGTGCTAACCTCAGTAAAGGACAAAAGTCAAGAATAAATTTAGCAAGAGCTTTGTACCGAAACGCAGACATTTACTTAATAGATGATTGTTTAACCTCTCTAGACGTCAATGTTCAACGCCACGTATTTCAAAAGTGTTTCAGAGAGTTCCTGGTAGATAAAATATGTATCTTGGTTACTCAAAATCTTCAATATACCAACAAAAATGACAAAATAATTATATTGGACGAAGGTAAAACATTTGCATCACAAAATTTAGCCAAAGAAAATGACGTGGATATAAAAACTGTTTTAAAACAGGAGCAACAGATGAAAAATCTGATTGAAGTTAATGACAACGCTGATGAGGTTAACAATGATGAAACAACCGAAGAATCTTCGCTGTTAAAGAAATCAAATAATGAAAAAAATAATATGTATCAAGAAAATAAAAAGTCTGGAAAAGTTGATTTTTATACCTATAGAAAATATGGTAAATATGGTGGAGGACTTTTAGTCATTGCAATTGTATTCGTATTTTTTATTGGCTCACAATTTTCAAAAAGTTATACTGAGAAGATTTTAAGTAACTGGTAAGTTTTATCTTTTTTTCCATCCATCCATCTTTTGGCTCTACAGTACAAGTTAAGCCTTGGCCTCCCTCAGCAAATCTCTCCATTTGTTACGTTACGGTCTTTAGCCATTCTCCTTCACGATCGACTGCAACAAGATTTCTGGCGTTCTCATCTACATCATCCTCCTAAAGCTTTTTCGGTCTTCTAATAGATCTCTTCCCCTGCATTCTTGGATTCAACAATTTTTTTGGAAGCCTGTTTTCTTCCATCCTCTCCATACCAAATATATGGCCTATCCATTGAAAATGATGCTGTAAAGCAGACATACTGGCTGATGTTCTTCAACTACGATGTCCTTCTGCGCCCTTGAGATCTTTTGCCTTCTATCTTGCCTTGTAAAATTAGTTGAATTAGTGGTTTGTAACATGGTGGATATAATATATTCTGAGCATGCGGCTGTAGAACCACATTTCGAAGGCTTTCGAAGGTTTAGATGTTGCCTCCGTCATGGCCCTGGCTTCGACTCCATATAAAAGAATAGAAAATACATAGTATCTCAAGACTCGTTTTCTTATATCAACGTTCAGGTGCATATTATATTAAACCTTCCTGATGCGCTTGATGCGTCGATGAGGGCTTAAATAAAATCGTAAAACAGTAAAAGTAAAAGAAATCTGTGTGAGAAATTTACAAGGCAGGTCAAAGCCAAAAAAGCAGGCTTGGATGACAGATGATATACTGGATTTGATGGAACAACGGCGACTAGCAAAAACCAACGAAACACTTTACAATAGTATACAAAAAGAAATTCGACGTAAAATACGAGAAGCAAAGAGTCAACATCTAGCCAAACAGTGTCCTGACATTGAAGAACTCGAATAAAGATACGACACGTTTAACATGTATAAAAAAGTAAAAGAAGCAGCTGGTATCTTCAATAAGAAACAAAATGCATTGCTACAGGATGAAAATGGTAAAGTAATATTCGAAGTAGAGGACAAACTTAAAGAATGGGAAAATTACGTCACGAACCTATTCGAAGACGATAGGAGTAGTTCACCTCCCGATATTACTAACTGCGACAGACCCCTAATAACACGCTGTGAGGTTATAAAGGTCATACAATCATCAAAAGATGGTAGAGCGACTGGTCCTGATGAAATTCCAACTGAAATATATAAGCTTATAAAGGATAGCAATGTTTTAGAGGCTAGAACTTCGTTTTTCAATACCATTTATACCAGCGGACAACTACCTAATGGTTGGTCTAACTCACTGTTTACAGCTCTACCTAAGAAGACAACAGCAAAAACCTGTGCTGATTATAGAACCATCAGTTTGTTAAACCACTTATTGAAAATTTTTCTGAAGGTAATACATGGTTGTATCTACAATAAATGTGAGGAATACCTGGATGACACTCAGTTTGGTTTCCGTAACGGATTTGGAACGAGAGAGGCACTGTTTGGAATGAACGTACTTGCTCAAAGATGTCGTGATATATCTGTAGACATATACTGTTGTTTTATTGACTTTCAAAAGGCATTTGATCGGGTTAAGCACTCTATATTGATCGAAGCTCTAAAAGACATTGGCTTGGACGGCAGAGATGTTCGAATAATTGCAAATTTATATTGGAATCAAAAAACATCAGTTTTAGTAGATGGTGTGGAATCACAAGCTCTCAATATTAAAAGAGGAGTACGACAGGGATGCCTCTTGTCACCCCTGCTTTTTAACGTTTACTCCGAAAGAATTTTCAGAAAAGCACTTTCTGAAAAACAAGAAGGAATACTTGTGAACGGCGAAGTCATCAATAATTTGCGATATGCGGACGATACAGTACTCCTAGCTTCTAATCAAGAAGATCTGCAAACACTACTTGATAGTGTCGTTGAGAGTTGTAGGGAGGCAGGTCTGGATCTTAACATAAGGAAAACCAAAATACTTGTAATAAGTAAACAACAGAATATAAAACCGTCTATATATGTAAATAATACCAAACTTGAGCAAGTTGATAAAATCTTGGATAGCAATTAAATTGTAATGCAGAAAATCACGGCGAAATTAGATCCAGAATAGAGCAGGCTAGAGCTGCTTTTAGAAGGATGTCCAAGGTGTTATGTAACAGAGACCTAAAATTGGCATTAAGGATCCGCCTACTTCGCTGCTACATGTTCTCGGCCTTACTTTATGCTATCGAATCCTGGACTGTGAATAAAATCGATCTAAATGCCTTGACGCTTTCGAAATGTGGTGCTATAGAAGAATTTTAAAAGTTTCCTGGGTGGAGAAGATTCGTAACTCCACAATACTTGTACGTCTCAGCAAGACTACTGAGATCATAAAAAGCATCAAGCAGAGAAAGCTGGAATATTTCGGACATGTAATGAGAGATCCCAAATATAGATTGCTACAAAATATCATGCAAGGAAAAATAGCAGGCAAACGCAGTCCAGGACGAAGAAGAACCTCATGGTTGAAGAACTTGCGAGATTGGTATGGTGTAGATACAAGCATGCTCTTTAGGGTGGCAGTGAATAAAATTAAAATAGCTATGATGGTAACCAACGTTCTGAAAGGACATGGTACATGAAGAAGAAGAAGATGCGCTTGAAGATAGCTCTCGCCTTTTCTATACATCTTATTTCCTGTGAGTGGTCCCATTCCTTATTATATAAGTCGACCTAACTTAGTCCCATTCCTTATTATAATAACTTTGTCGACTATTCTCAAGGGTTCATTATTAGCTGTGAATTAGTGCTATATTACGTTGTTTTACGTCTTCTTTACAGTTTAATTTCTTGGCATATCTGTCGCAGGTTTTCAGTAGACGGTCTATAAATTGTTTATGATTTCACCATTGATTTTTATACCTTCTCTTAAACCATCAATAGCTTCCCTGAACAGCATTTCCGAGAAACTATTCAACAACGTCAGTGACAAAATGCAGCTCTGACGTACTCCCCGTTTTATCGTGAATTCTTGTGAGGTTCCGTTGTCTACTCGTAGCATCTCAACTCAAAGCATGCGTAGACTTCGCAATTTACGTCTCGAGCTCGTTGTATCAATACTTGTATGGAAAATAGAGCCTCTCGCGTTCCCAGTCCACTTCTTAACCCAAACTGAACACTTCTAATGTTTTCTTCAGAATTTTATATATGCCAGAGTGAATAACAGAAAGAAGGATTTTGAGTGCATGGCTCATTAAGCTTACCTATAATTCTGTAATCTTAGCATCTGGTGGTATTTAACTTTTTGGGGAGAGGGATAAAGGTGGAAACTAGTCAATCTGTAGGAAATTTTGCAGTTTTATAGATTTTGTTCAGTAGACTCGTTTGAGAGTTGGTTGTTTTCAAATAGTTTCAACATTTTAGCTTCTATGTTATTAGGTCCAGGTGCTTTGTTGGTTTTTAGTCTTTTTATTGCATATGTTACTTTACTGAGCGTTATTTCTGGTCCTCAACATGCAGAAACACTGACTTCTATCTCTTGCTCTTCCTTGAATAATTCTTCCATGTATTGCCTCCATCTCTCAAGTATTCTCTCATTTTCGTAGAGCAGATTGTTTTGCTCGTCTAGTATTAAGTTATGACTTCGTGATCCATTTTCTCTCATTAAGTTTTTGATCTTTTTATGTAGGTTAAAAGTATCATGGTTCTGTTTTAGGGATTCTGTTTCTATGCATTGATCTTGTAGCCACGATTATTTTGCTTCTTTAATCTTTTTTTTAACAATTTTGTTTATTTCTTTGTACCTTTCTTCATTCTTATTTCTGTGTTTTCTTCGTTCTTTTATGAGTCTTCCATGAGTTCTGCCTACTCCTTAGTGTTGAGTGGTTTCCTCAGTACAACAAGTAACTGGTAGAATTAAAGAATCCATTTGCCACTGAACAAATACGAAGACCATGCTTGTAATTTATTTGCGGTTCCTGTCATGACATTTCCATCTGTGTTTAGTAAGATATTTACCATGTCCTTTTATGTTCCTGGCATTTCTTAATAATAAACATATTATATTTTTTAGGGTAAATCACATTCATCACAACACAACTGATATCAATGAAGAAAATACGGTGTGGGATTTTTCTTTAAAGATATATTCAGCGTTTACATTGTCCACTACGATTCTCTCCATATTTTCAGCCTTTTTGTTATTTAATTTTACGAGAAAAGCTTCTTTAAGATTACATAGGTACTTAACTAACTCTGTAATTAATGCAACTATGAAATTTTTTGACAAGCATTTCATTGGAAACATTATTAATCGATTTTCGAAGGATCTCAGCATTGTAGATGAACAAATTCCTTTTGCCATATATGAATTTTTAGAAGTAAGTATACTTATTAATAAGTACTAGTACTTTTTCCACTACAAAGAATGATATAAATCTTAAAATACCAGGGATCAAAGATAGTTACATCTTTTGCAAGTCTTGAAACCGAGGAGGGTACTGACATTAGCAGTAGAGATAGAAAACGATCAAAGAGGTACTATTCTGCTAGACTAACAACCTTTCCTAGAGCAATTAATCGGCCAACATGAACAAGCAGAATTACTAATAACGGGAAAGAAAAATAAATCACTGACGAATTATATTTGGTTCAAGTAAAATAAAAATTGAAATAACTCATAGCGATCACTATAACCTAGCGAATAATTTGGTATCAGGTTAAGTAACAGATGAAACTTTAAAAAAAAAATTTGTTTAAAATCCTTTATAAAAGGTATATAAAAATGCCTCAAACAGGCTATCACAAACACATTGCAAAACGTTTTCGGATTAAACAATCCATCATCAGTGCAAACGGTTGTACATGCTAGATGATGGATTGTTTAATCCGAAAACGTTTTGCAATGTGTTTGTGATAGCCCGTTTGAGGCATTTTTATATACCTTTTATAAAGGATTTTAAACAAATTTTTTTTGTGATATATGGTATACAGCCAGCTACAGGAACTTAGTTTCCTCGTGGAAGATGAAACTTTCACCATCTACAGTTTTCATAATATACTTGATTTTCAAATTATTTGAAATTATAATGCAAGAGACCTTTATTTTCTTTACAAATAAAACTATGAAAATTAATTCTAGTTCTTTATTTTCAGATTGTTTTGGGTTTATGCGGAGTAATTATTCTAATAACATTAGTAAACGTTGCGTTCATTATACCCACTGCTGTAGTTTTTATATTTTTATATTTTTTAAGAAAACTTTACTTGCCAACTGGTCGAAATCTGCAGAGACTGGATACAGCAGGTAATGAAATTTATTAATTCTTTTTAGGTTATTATTTAGGATATTTATTTTATACAAATCTTCTGCGGCTGCCTTGTAATGGCACACAAATATTAGAAGTACTTCTGGAAGAGAATAAGTTAGAAATATTTAATAAATATATCTCCTATAATAATTGTCTAGACGGGATCTGTTTTGGATTGGAAATTTTGCATAGGAAGCTATTTTTTTGCTGGAATCCCTTCAGGATGGGTCCAATATCGATAATCACGATATGCGTCAGTTGCAAACCCTGTGCTAAATTTTTTATTTAACAAAATCTAAAAAAAAATTGAAAATTTCTCATTTTTTTGCTTCTATTTTCGTTTATAATTCGGAAAATATTGATCCTAGAGAAAAAATTATAAGAAGTTAAAGTTTCGTTATTCAATTTTACACAATATGTCTCCATAGTCCGCCTAGAAAAACTTTTTAATATGTTTAAAACGTGTGCTAAATTTTGTTAAGATCGGTTGGATAGGTTTTGCATAATAATTTTGCAATCCAGCTTACTGGAAAAAAATCGCAAATTTTCAAATTTATAGTAGGCCCTAAATAATACCCTCAGATAGTTGCAATTTTTTTTACATATAAAGGAAGTCTCAAACTTCCAAACGCTTTTTGTAAAATTCAAATCGGTTAACTAGGAGAGCCTAGAACATTTTTAAACATTTTTTAGGCTTATAAACAAATTGAATAACTTTACATATCATTTTCGAATCAAAATATATTCTCAAATTGAATAATGTCATTATTATGAAAAAACTGCAGAAATTAATTATTTTAAAAAAGTTTGATTTTTTACAAAAAAAAAAAAAAAATTCGTTCGCCTTTGTTTTAAAAATTCAAATTATTTATTAACAATTTATAAATACATATTTGTTTACTTAAAGTAACAATATATAATAACAGTAATAATTTGAATTGTTAAAACAAAGGCGAACGAAATTTTTTTTTTGTAAAAATCAAACTTTTTAAAATAATTAATTTCTGCAGTTTTATCGTAATAATGACATTATTTGATTTGAGAATATATTTTGATTAAAAAATGATATGTTTAAAGCTCGTAAAGTTATTCAATTTGTTTATAAGCCAAAAAAATGTTTAAAAATTTTCTAGGCTCTCCTAGTTAACCGATTTGAATTTTACAAAAAGAGTTTGAAAGTTTGAGCCTTCCTTTATACGTAAAAAAAATTGCAACTATCTGAGGGTCTTATTTAGGGCCTACTATAAATTTGAAAATTTTCGATTTTTTTTCAGTAGGCTGGATTGCAAAATTATTATGCAAAACCTATCCGACCGATCTTAAAAAAATTTAGCACACGTTTTAAACATATTAAAAAGTTTTTCTAGGCAGAATATGGAGCTTGTGAGTCAAGTTTAAAAAGTCGAAAACATTTAAAGGATTAACCTAATTTTTTTGTACTTTTTTTTTCCAATTATTGCTATTTTTTCAACAATAAACATTAAATTTTTAATTTCTAGCTAACGACATATTGTGTAAAATTGAGTAACGAAACTTTTAACTTCTTATAATTTTTTCTCTAGGATCAATATTTTCCGAATTACAAACGAAAATAGGAGCAAAAAAATGAGAAATTTTCAATTTTTTTCAGATTTTGTTAAATAAAAAATTTAGCACAGGGTTTGCGACTGGCGCATATCGTGATTATCGATATTGGGCCCATCCTGAAGGGATTCCAGCAAAAAAATAGCTTCCTATGGAAAATGTCCATAATGGTCTGAATTTTTACATATCCTGCCTAGTCTATAAGACCCAAAGTTATAAATGCTGCATGTAATGTGAGTATTATTGAAATAGTATCTATTTAGTTACAATCGCACAGACCTCTTTTTATTTGCCTAAACTACCCTTTCCATCTATCTCACTGGGTAAAACCTTTCAACAACTTTAAGGTTAGAAATGCCTCTTAATAAGGGTAATACATCTAATACAGACATTAATCAAGATTAATTTGTGCCAATAATAGCTGTAAAGATATTATGCATCTTTATAAGGAATGTAGTCAACTTTCATCCTCCGAAGTTTAAGATCTTTCAAATAAAAGTTCTGATGTATTAAGAAGTTATAGGAGAATACAGACAAATTAAGAAATGATAGATTTTTACTGATCTTTAGTCCAAACCTGACTCCTTATTACCACACAGGTTTTTGATCTTAAGTAAGTACCTTTAAGAAATCCAATTCTTTGAGCAAGTGTTCTATCTTATTTTCCTCTAATATAAATGGTTTTTTGAAACCTTTTTTCTATTCGAACTGTCGAATAAAGGCCTCTCCCCTTTTTCTCCATTCGTCCCTGTTGTAAGACAGGCGTTTTCATATTGGTCTTCCTCTTGGTCTCTTCGCTTCGTATGGTCGCGTTTGTTCTAAAAACTGGTGCTATTCCTTTCTTTTTTTACACGTTTCGCTATTTTTGTTGATATATTGCCTGTATAATGTATATGTAATCGAGCAGAAGGTAGGGTAAACTGTGCAAATACCGGTCAGTGGGTAATGGCGGTCATCCCGATTGTGCGAAATCTATTCAATCTGGCAACCTCCTATAACTGCCAACGTGTCGCTACACTACTCTGTAATCAGATTGCTGACGAGCGCTGAGTTGGCGCAAACCATTGTCATAGAAATATTATTAACCTGTTTTCAGTGTTTTCGATCTTATTTTTATGCTGAGTAATATAAGGTCTTAATTCATTTTTATTCACTTGTAGATCTTAAAATTGGTTACAATTGATTATAATGACGTTAGCTGCCTATTCCTTTTTTAAAGATCAATATTTTAATACATGTTTACGAGTAAAAAATTCTAAGAAAAAAAATGCCAACAGGAGGCAATGCCGGTCAGTTGACCGGTATTACCCCCATGCTATAATTTATACCCTATACTATTAATCCTTAGGGATTAATCCATCCATTTTTCGACATTGCAAGAAAGAATAAAAATAAAAATCTTCAAGGTGTCTCATTAGGTAGAAAATCAGTATTTTTTGCCGAACAAGAAGCTAAAATAGCCACACAAAAAAAATATTTAGCTTAATTTTTTTTGGCGTAACAGCAATAGAACTGAGAAAATTAGCATTTGGGTTTACAAGATAATTTTTCTTGTAATAAAACACCTTTTCTTGTAATTTGCATTACAAGAAAAAGGTGTTTGATTCTAGTTCTTTGGAATCGGATATTGATATATCATGTGATAACAGTGATGATGCATACGAAGATAGATGCCTGGTTTACAGCGAGTTTGGCAAAAACAATGAATTGTGGTATATATTTACCGTTTGCTCACGATGGGCTTATTCAGAGTGCAGTGGATGGGAATCTGCAGAGAGTTATACCTGCGATGACTGTCAACTATTTTTACATTAAAACACATATTTTTGTTATTTTTTGTTTGTTTTGTAATAAAAAAATTTTTTTCACCTTTCTTACTGATTTACTTGAATTATGACCCATTAAGCCACATTCGTTAATCGTTTTATAACAAAAAAATGTTAAATAGATATTGATTTTTATTTTAATAATAACACAAACAAATTGACTGGCATTACCCACACTCATGACCGGTATTGTCCATGTATGGTGACAATACCGGTCAAAGATACTTTTTTATGTTTTGTCTCTGTCAAAGACAAAAAATTTATATTCTTGAAATTAAATGTATCTTGCAATAAGTTAAAACCCCAAATTACGGATTGACGGCTTAAATTTAATTCACAGAGTTTTACTTTTTTTTATATTAAATTTTCTTCTTAGGTGACCGCGACTTGCACACTTTACCCTACATGGTTTTTTCTCTGCTGGTAGAACTACTAATTTCAGGGCTTTCTTATGTAGTTTTTGATTTAAAATTTTATTAAGTGTTTGTTCGTTGTATCCATTGTTTACTGCTACTTGTTTAATGATATTTAATTATATCATGCTTAGTATATTTATGTTGTATAGGATGGAATTATGAATGTCAGTATGGCAACCTTCCCAAACAACAACTTAGACAAATGTAAAAATAACATGAGTCAAAATAAAAAGCACTTACACAGTGGTGTATATAACCTTAAATGTGGCGACTGCCCAAAAACACACATCGGTCAAACTGGTAGAACTTTTACCAAACGTATAGTAGAACATAAAAGGGCTTTCAATAATAAAAAAACAGATTCTACATAAGTACTTTACCTTCTAGATCATAATCATTATCAACAGTATTTTTTACCGTTTTAGTTCGAAGTCCAATGCTTGGTCACTTAAACTCATCTCTGGAAGGACTTTCAACCATTAGAGCATTTAAAGCCGAAGAAACCATTAGCAAAGAATTTGACAGACATCAAGATTTATATACATCTGCAAACTATACTTCAAAATGCTGCCAGAGAGCTTTTGGATACTATTTGGATGTATGTTGTACTACATTTATTGGTGCTATTATTGCAGCGTTCATCGTGGTTGGCAAAGGTAAGTTTGTATACCGTTTAATAAACCGTTAGTAAATCGAATTTTTGTTCGATAATTCCATTGTAACGAAAAAGCTAACAAAGTAGATGGTAAAAAGCTGATCGTTCACCAAGACTTTACGAAGACCACGTTGCTCTGTTTGGGAACTTCATTGGGTTTGGGTAAGGATATGATTAATAGAAAAGTAACAAATATATAATAATATAATAGATCTCCGTTTGACTCCAGGTATAAATGCAGTATATATAAATGCCGTGAAAAAGCTATATCAAGATAACCAAGCTTATATTAAGGTTGGAAACCAAATTTCCAAGGGTTTCACCCAAACAAAGGGTGTCAAACAGGACTCTTGCCTCTCCCCAACCCTATTTAAAATATATCTTGGTAATGCTTTAAAATATTGGATGAGAAAATGCAGCCCAATGGGCATATGGGTAAATGACACTCCTATATACACAATCCTCTTCGCAGACGACCAGGTAGTTCTTGCCGAGGACCTACAAGATATGACGTACATGATAAACAAACTAATAGACGAATTCAAAAAATGGGGATTAGAGGTTAATACCGAAAAGACACAATACATGAATATAGGAGGCATCGGTCAAGACATGGAAGCAGAAAGCGGATTAATTAAAAACGTTGATCAGTACGAATATCTCGGAGTTACACTAAGCGAAGACGGGAGAGACGACAAAGATATAACAAGAAAAATAGGAAAAGGAAAAAACATGATAAAAACACTACATCCGATCCTGTGGAATAAAACTTTAACTAAGAAAACAAAGAAAAATATATATCAGGCTATGATTCAGCCGGTGCTGACGTATGGGTCAGAAGTGTGGGTCTTTGACAAGAATATGTCACAAAAACTCCTCTCAACGGAAATGATGTACTGGAGAAGATGTTCCGGGTTAACTTTGTTTGGTCACATAAGAAATGAAAACATAAGAGAGAGAATGAAAGTAAAGAACACAATAATGGATACGATAGCCGAAAAACAATTAAAATGGTATGGACACCTGAGACGGATGAACGAAGAAAGGATACCACGAAAGGTTTGGAACTGGAGACCTACACAGAGAAATAAAAGGGGAAGGCTAAGAAAGAAATGGATATCCAATATTCATATAGAAATGGAAAATAGAGGTCTTCAAGAAGGAGACTGGGCCGATAAGAAATTATGGCGATTGGGATGCGAGAAGTGACAAAATTAAAGTTGCAAACACTCACTATATATATATATATATATATATATATATATATATATATATATATATATATATATATATATATATATAACAAATATATAAATGACAGATAAATAAAAGATAAATAAAAATTAGATAACAGTTTGACAAAAGAAAAACAGAAAACATTGAATACATCTAAACTTTAAAACAAAGAGGACGCAAATGGCTCTTCACCAGAGAGTCAAAAACGACTCGAGACATTAAAAAAAAAACATCAACAATAAAAGTTGACATATTTATCCATAAGCTAAAAGGGATTATAAATACGCAATAAAATCTTCAAAAAAGTTACATGGTATCTAAAATATTATATAACTTTCGAAAGATTTCATTAAACAGATACTAGACCAAATTTTTCGGTTTAACACAAGTATAGATTTCATGTCAAAACCTTTTACTTCTTCAGAACTAGACTTTGCATTAAAAAAAGCAGAAATACAGCTCCCGGTTTAGACGGTTTTACTTATAAGATATTAAACAAATTGCCATCAAATGCCAAAGACGTTCTCTTACAAATCATTAATAGTTGGTGGTTGAAAGAAGAATATTGCAATGCTTTAAAAAATATTATCATATGCCATTTACTTAAATTTAACTTAAACACAGAACTTTCATCATCTTCTAGACCCATTTCTTTATTATTCTGTGTGACAAAATCATTTGAAAGGCTAATAAAATTTAGATTACAATATTGTATTGAAAGTAGTTTAGTTTTTAATCCACAGTATGGATTGCGTAGAGATTGAGATACCTATATAGTATTGATACTCTCATACATTTAGTTATGAATATTTAACTCTGTTTCTCAAAAAACTAATTTATGCTCTGTTTGTTTCTAGATTTAAAGGGTGCATATAACGTGGTTGATTTGGATCGATATGATATGCGCGTGGTATCGATAAAATATTATCTGTTAATATAATAAATTTCTATGTGAACAGAAAAATATACTTACGGGACCATAGAAATGTATTACACGGTCCAAGAATATTATATAACCGTCTGCCACAAGGCTCAATTTTAAGTCTTATATTGTTTAATGTTTATACTGCAGATCTACATAGTTTGATTAATGGCAAATGTAAAATAATTAAATATGTAGGCGATATTATATATATATATATATATATATATATATATATATATATATATATATATATATATATATATATATAGTGCCTCGTCAGGTTTAATGTATCCTGTGGTATTGGATATTTTCTGCGTATAATTTCTAACAGACAAATCGAAGGATACAAGTTAGACGCGAAGAACATCGAAACGCCATCGAAAGAAAACAGAAAACTTCATCTCTAGTACAACATGCCATCAACACAGGACACAAAATCGACTTAAATGGAACAACAATGCTAGCTAATATCGAAAATAAGGCCAAACGTGTAATCAGGGAAGCCATAGAGATCGAAAAACATCCAAAAAATTTAAATACCAAAGACGATGCCCAAAGACTCCCAAATACGTGGAAACCAATTCTGCAGAAAAACATAGAAATTAAAATAGCGAAGAAGACCCCGCCTACTCTGCGCACAGGACCAATCACAAGAAGCGCTTCAAGGTATTTAAACTTAGCGAGCAGCGATCGAGAAAGCAGCCAAAACCATCAACAAAAAGAAACAACACAAAAAAAAAGAAAAACCAACGCGACAGTGAAGAGAGATCGAGAAATCAGTTCTCCTGCAACATCAAGACGAAGCAGAACTAATCTGACTTGACAATGGCAAGTGTGACCTTGCCGAAACGTCGTCAAAACAATGGTTTTTATAAAAAATCAAAATTACTTAACGCGGAGTCAAACCCGGAAAACAACTGAAATCATATATATATATATATATATATATATATATATATATATATATATATATATATATATATATATATATATATAAGTGAAATTGTGTCGCATTGTCACGATGGTCGTTTCTTTGTGGCTTGGATGTTTTCTTTTCTCGTTTTATGATTTCTTGTCCTGTTATAGGTTTTTCACCTCTTCAGGACGTGGTTTGTTTTTCCCTTTGGTATTTTTTACCTCTTCAGGACGTGGTTTATTTTTCCTTTGGTTGTTGGCTTTTTTGCTGTGTGGGTTTCACTTGTGGTTGGCTTCGTGGATGTGTCGACGGAGGAGGATCCTGGGCAATCAGAGGTGAAAGATTGTTGAGCTAAATTAATCCTTTTCAGAATTTTTTTGGTAAAAAATGTGTTTATCAATTGACTAAATTTATATGTATACAATTTAATTTAATTAGTGAATGTAGTGACTCGCATGAGGGCAACTGTGGCTGTTTTCTCTGCAATAGACAGGTATCATTGTGCAATGGGATCGGGAAACCACAGAAAACTATCTTGGCAAGCTCGAAGTGAGCATTTATGGATTGATATGACGGTAAAAGAGGGGAGTTGCCTCCAGGCTTTCAATGTATTTATCAGGGAGTTCGTTGGTGGCAAGGGCCAGTAATTCTGTGAGTGGGACAGGGAGTTTGGGTTTGGGTTGTCTTTTGAATACCTTACCGATGGATGAGCAGGTAGCTTTCAAGATATTTTTCAGAGGGGAGAGCCTCTCATTGATGGGCTGGATATTCGACAGTTGATTAATAAGGGCGGAGGAGTAGTCGCGTCGTTTGTTGTTTACTCTACGCAGGATTTCCCGTTCCAATCCCAGCAGTCTTTGTGTGAGGTAACGGTGGATAGAAATATAGAAGTTGGATCTATACTCGATCACCGGCGTAATGAATGTTTTGCCAGTATGTATAAGTGTACGTGGATGTGTTCTTCCGAACTTATCACAAAGAGGATTTAGAAGACCGACTCTGCTCCTAACCTTGTTAGAGGCTTTATCCAGATCGGGCCTCCAGTTTGTCTAAACCCCACACCGACGTACTCAATCCGGTCGCGGAGTTGGAGTCGTATGCCCCAGAGTCTAAGGTTGTTTCTTTCGGCTATGTTGAGTGAGGTGAATCTGCTGCGACTGGAGTGTCTGAAAAAAATCGTTTGAGTTTTATTTGTGTTAGGTGTTACTCTTCATCTCTTGCACCACCTGTTGACCAGATCAAGGTGATTTTAAGCAAACCTAAGTACTGAGTTTACGTCTCGTGATATTGTTACGAGAGCGGTATCGTCTGCGTAGAGCAAAGTGGGTGTCTTAGTATATCGTGGGTTAGGGAAGTCACTGTTGTATATAGTGTATAATATGGGAACCTTGTGAAACTCCTGCTGTAGGAGAAATGACCTCGCACTTTTACTATGATTTAACATTAAGAGACATATGAGTGGATAAGTATAACGAAAGAGAGGGGCAGGCCTATGTTTAACAGTTTCCTGGCCAGTCAGCATGTCAGACTAGATCAAAGTCTTTTTGAACATCGGTTCAAAATGCCTCGGTTTTCCGTTTGCCGTCGTTTAGACTTTGTGTGAGATGAGTGAAGATCTCTGTCAATGCCGTTTTGGTGAAGTGACCTTTTTTAAAGTCGACTTTAAATGTTGGAATTGTATTATGTTCGGTGGTAAAGTCAACAAGTCTATCCTTGAGGATCCTCTCGAAGACCTTAGTTAAAACGTTTAGTAGTGAAATCGGTGCGGGGTTTGCCCTTTTTCAGAAGCATAATTGTATTGGCTACCTTCGGTTTTGCTCTTTCTTTTATAATTTTGGGCAAAGCTAATTGAAAGAAGTAGTGATTTTCGTTCACATGAGAAAATATTAACACTGCAACTTAATTATAGGCCAAAACTAATATA